TAAATCAAAGAAATAAGAGGGTTGTAAATCCCTCACAAAAAATATCGATATGTAAGTCGAGAGGTTTGACTGTAAAACTCTTAATGAGCTCCTCTTTTTTCTGTATTTAGATTTTTACTGCTTTGAAAGTAGGTCTTTTTATAAAATGTAAATATAAGATTTGTATGGAATGAAGTGACTATCTTACTGCAAGTTTTCTTCAGCCTGCTGCTTTTAAACTCTCTGGCCGTCATTGAACTTCCCTTAATTTCATCAGCTACCCACCATTCGAATATTACTGATCACATATGTTATACATATGATTTCTCAAGAGTTTCAAAGCTTGTGTGTAATTTCTCTCCCTGGGTTTTTTTTTAAGTCTAGATACGGTTATGTCTTTGTTCTGACCCGTAGGGTGCTCAAGACAACGAAAAAGGCGGGTTCAAGAAGCTCCACGTTGATATACCTGACAAATTCATGGGTGTTGTCATCGGAAAAGGATATGAGACGTTGAACAATATCTCAACTAAGACTGGTGTAACTCTAAAAGCCTTCTGGGGCAGCCCTGGCCTGTACTTCAAAGGATCAAGAGAGGGCGAAAAAAAAGCAATACGAGAAATAAAGGAAATTGTGGTGAGTGTGTACTGGTGAGTGTGTACTGGTGTCCCTGTGTCATCATCCTTTCTTATGATTGGTTGTTGTGATCATGTTGGTTTTGATTTTACGACACAGGATCCAAATCCACCCAGAAGACCTCTTTTATAACTGCAGGCATAATTATCAATCTTTCTGCACAAGTGAAAAAAAGGACCCGAAGGGTCATACTCTTAACCTCCCCTTAGGGGAAAAATTCTATTGTTATTTTCCATATGTTGTCAAGGCCATGAAGGCTAATTTACATAAATGTAATAGAATATAAATGAGACTACCCCTTTTAAGAGAGACATCTTAAGTCCTCGTAACAAAGATAATCCCTCTTCAAATTCTCTCAAAATTTAAGATATGTTCCGGTGCTACTTGAATGTTTTGGTGAAGAACGATTGAGGATTAGCGTGGGTTACCTTCGCGACATGACATCACACTTTCCTCTGGGGGATCTCCAAAAACGAAAGTGAGCTCAAGAAGGCTCTCGTTAAGAAAATTAGGGGTTCAGTGACCTGACAGCATTCTTGGTATTGTGCATAAGTCTGTCGTGATACAACATTAGCAATTAACGGTTTTCTTTTCATTTTAGAATCTTGCAATGAAACGTTCACAGAACGTTAAACCTCCAGCAAGGTTTGTTTATGTGGACACTGCTCAGCTGGAAGAAAACCACGAGTTTGAGCTGCAGGCGTTACAATCAGATCAAGTCACCGGCTATGAAAATAAGTCTTACCAACTGAAGCCACTGGAACATCCTTTAGGAAAGGTCTGCCCGATTTTGCGCTTATCTTGTATGAAAACGACTGTCTAACCCCAAACTAACCCCTAAATAAAGAAAATTATTCATGCCTGCAGACATAATGTAAATGTTGCTGCTCAGAAAATTAATCACTCAAAATCTCAGCAACACAGTTTAAACTACACCATTCACTATATATAAACATTACTGATTTCACACGATGAGTAGGTAACTGAAGGTTTCATATTGGAAGTTCGCCCTCCTACGTGTTCGCTGTAAACCCCCACATGAAAAAGAATTACAGCCCTAACAAGAACAAGACACTAACTACAGAAATTCTCTATTTCTGTACTTGCTCTCATCATATTTTGTCTCGCCTTTGTCAAAACATTTCTATAAACCATTTCTTTTATTAAGAAAAAATTCATATTGCATGCTTATAACTTCGGAAAGCTTGATTTTTCAATAAGTCATATCGCACAACGACTTTTAAACTGAGAGGAATCGACCACAACGTCTAAACAAAGTGAACATCCCAAGCAATAAAACAACCAACAGTTATTACAAAAGACATTACAATCATCTTGTTTCTTAATAGGAAACAGATGATTTTGCTGACACGGACCGTCTGAAAGAAAAGATCCGCGGAGTTTTAAGGCAAATTCACAAAGACAAGGAGGAAGGGGGCAAGATTAAGATAGACATGAAGAGTCGTTTCGGTCACGCCTATATAACCAAGATTGATGAAGGTGAGAAATGGGAAAAGGGGGGACAACATAGCAGAGGGACGAGGAGCGTAGGAATTAATCAAAAAGTCTGATGAAGTATCTTGAATTTAAGTCGAAGATTAACGAAAATGCCTGGTTCTGTAACTAACATAAGATGTAATGTTGAGGTGTTAATCTAAGATTTTCTTTCTTTTGTTTCTCTGTAATGCAGAAGAAGAGAAAGATACTTTTACTCTGAAGGAGATCAAAGAAAGAGTTGAATCTACGTATGGCAAGAGTTGGAAGCCCTTCTTCAAGGCAGGCGTCTTAAGAATAGAAGTTGAGGAAATTGAGAGGGGCCTTGAATCTTTCACAGCAACTGACGATATCAGATATGACTTCACATTCTACACTCCTTCTTGCCGAGATATTCGTGCTAAGGTAATTTAAATCTGTAAATTGAGTAAATAAGAACATCCATTTATATCGTAAGATTCTTTTCATCATCTGATGCTGGACTTGGATTGTCCTTTTCTGGTAAAAAGACTTTTCACTTCTGATCAAACACTTTCGAGTATCGCCAAAGAGGAATCGAAATGAAGAGGGGTATTCTGGTTTATATCTGCAAGGTTCAGTGAAAACGATACGGTCTTGAAGGAATCCGGACAGTTTGTTCTTAAGATCTCTTAAACTATATTCTAGCCTCTTAATTAAAGGAATAAGTCTCCCATAGCTGAGGAACTGAGACACCGAAAAACTGTCTCTTGTTTTAGAGAAGCCTGTCTACTTCCCTGAATAAAGACTGATTGGAATTAGTTTTCAATTTACCAAATTTTCTTGTTTCTCTCTTTATGCCAGGTATGGCTGGTGGAGGAACATTCTGAGGACGAGGGTGCCACGGCTCCTTCGCTAATGTTCTCTCGCAATGCTCCTATTCCTGTCAAAAGCGTCTTGACTCGTGTGTCATCCGAAGACGAGACCGGAAGTACATCGAACGAACCATGTTTCCATATGTGTTCTCAGTTTCAGCAAAGAATGAGAGCAGACATTTTGATACCTTCTAAAGGATTTGACTGCCGTTTGTCAATAAGAACATGTGAGTCTGTGAAGTATGACAAGAAAGACGTAATAAACAGCTTCTCACAGCTCTCAGCGGCATTAACTTTTAATTTCATGAGTTTTTTAATTGTGGATGGAAAACTTACCGCGAATGACATTAAAAGAGGAAGAAAAAAACAAAAACTCAAGAGCGAAACACTGGATGATATTTGCCATCAGTTTTACCGCCCAAAAATAATTAATGAATGGAGCTTACAGCACTAAGTAGCATTTTTTACTCCATGATTTATTCTTCTGAACTTCAGATGAAAAAATCATGAAGTCAAAAACGCTCAACTGTGTAAGGGACTAGTTTTCAAGGAGAGTAACACTGAAAAAAAATAACGGAAGGAATTAAGTATGGGGCTTCTGTCTAACATTGTCGTATAATGATAAATAAACCTCACATTGTCTCAATTAAAAGTATGTCCTTGTATTTCTGTCAAGATCCAAATATTCCGCAGACACCGGAGGCTGAAGAGGAAAACAGAATTCTTGAAAGTTACTTGATGAACATGAAGATTGATCAAGGTCAATTGAAGTTACCACCGAACTCCGAGATTCCAAATGGATTTGACCTTTTTTACCAGCGTCGCAGTCTGAGAAGAACATACCAGTGCAGAACGACGGATGGAGAAAAGTTTGCTTTGACCGTTTGTAAAGACCAAGCTAAAAACGTGAATACTGATCACAGTGATGTAGGGAGCTTCGACGAAACAGAAGTAAAGGTACGTATCACTACAATCAAGCTATGCTTTCTCGTCGTCCATGTTAGTCATACACCGCTATTTGTGTTATGATCCGTGTCACTCGTCTACAGTTGATACCTGACAGTCATTCAGTATGTCGATAAATTAAAACATCCGTAGAACTTCGGCCAGTCAGTCTGCCAGTCAGTCTGCTAGTCAGCCAGTGAAACAGTGGGTGTTCCAGTTAGGCTGTCAGCCAGTCTGCTGGTCAGCTAATTCGAAAGTTGGCCAGTCGGTTAGTTAGTCAGTCTGTTAATCAGCTACTCAGATAATCACGGTCTGCAAACCAATAAGTCAGGCAGCTTGTCAGTTAGTCAATTAGTCAGCCATATCAGTCCATGAGCTAGACACTACGCCAGCCAGTCCGCCAGTCAGTCCGCCGGTCAGTCCGTTAGCCAGTCCGTCAGCCAGTCTGCCAGTCAGTCCTCCTGCAAAACATTCAGCTAGTCAGCCAGTTGGTCAGTCAGTCACTCAATTCGTCAGTCAATCATTCAGAGAGTCAATTTGGTATCGTGTTCAACTGAGATTATAACGTAAATTGACCGTTAAGAGTATCAAAGCTGACGTTTCGAGTGTTAGTCCTTCATTAGCCCTGACGAAAGTTTAACGCTTAAAACGTCAGCTTTGAAACCAGTTAGCTTGGTTGTTTCGTTAGCGATTGACTATCCTACATTTTAAGTCCTTTGGTCATATGTGTTGAGTAAAAGGAAGTGTTAAGGGCTTTAATATTTTTTTAAACTGCTTAATTTTGTTTCGATTTCGTATGAAAAAGACGGACATTCATCTGCATTGTAAAGAATGGGATGAAGCTTTTGATGAAGGAGCCTGGGAACCAGAGCAGATCGTTGCTAAGCTACCGAAGTTCTTAAAATTCCTGAGACAAGTTCAGTCCCACGTGGCCCCACATGGAGAGGCTATAGGAGACTAAGTTTAGCCAAAAGCAATTTAAGAGCAAGATTAAATCTATGATACGTATAGAGATCAAGAACTAAAATGTGATAGATTAACTAAATGTGAATGCTCTTCAATCCACGGCTAAAGAAGACGTCATTACCATCCTACGCAACACGTGCTTGGTGCAAGGATGCAACAACACAACTTTGGGCGCCTCATGGACAGTGGAAAACATGTTCTTTAAATTTGTAAATACAAAAAAACAACTGAAATTAATAGCAAGAAAGGCTCTACTTTTTGAGATAGAGTATTTTTGTAAGAGAAGTCATCCAGTCACACACAGGAGAAAAAAACTCTGTTTATCTTTCCTGTAGTACTTACGCGCCGTTTCTAATTTGATTTTAGTGAATTTGTACATCCTAGAATGTAAAAATCCTAACAGCATTTAATTGCACCATCAAAGCTTGATGTTTTGAGAAAGAGTATAGATAATGTTTATATAAGGTGTGTGCCACCCTGACATGGTTTGTTTAATGGCCCAGTTAAAAACTAAATACAATGAACTGAATAACAAAAAAAAAAAAAGAAAAAAAACAGCATATGATAAAAACTTACATCAGAAGTATTGTCGGCTTCTTGCGACCAACTTTCGCGTGAGCAGATACGTTAATGAATTCACAATGGCACTCTCCATTAGGGAAGAGTAAACGTCCCACTTTGCATTCAAAGTCTCTTGGTTTTGATTAAAATTGCTTCCTTGAAAAAGCTGTCTGAAGTTTTGGTAAAACTTTTTAGAGTTTGGTTTTTGATAATTTTAGTTTGAAGTAGAGTTTGTCATTGATCATCATATAAATGAGAACTAGTTTGGCAAGGACTATCACGACAATGTTTTCTTCAAAAACAGTCAATGATCTAACTGAAAGTATTATTCACTCTCATCGACGATTAATTCGTGTACGAAGATTTACCTCTGTTCATTACGTAAACGGCGAGGAAAAAAATTGTAAGTAAATTCAAATTTTTTATTTTGCAGTTGTGAGAGTTTGCTCGTTTGTTTGCTCGTTTGTTTGTCTTTCATCCACAAAAACTAAATTCGAATGATAGACTCCGACGCGACACAAGGGGATTTAATGCGGCCTTTTCCCACTAAATTCCTTCAGTTTCTGTTGTGCAATTTATGGCACAAATGTCCAACTGAAATTGAACGGACTTGGAAAGACTCACCTAGAGCGTATATTTAATGTGGAACTGAAATTAAAACTTCGCTTGCCCTTTCACTACGAACAAATTGTTTGAAAAAATTCAGATATTAAATGAATGAAAGTTCAATCGATTAGTTCAACTGTAACCATATACCTCACATTTTAACTTCCTAGGTACTTTTTGTTAACAGTTAAAATTGATTGCACACGGTTTTTAGGCCTCTTGTCAACCAACGTAACGACACTATTGTTTATACAAATTCATTCTAAAACCAATATTTTTCTCTCAACCAAAGTGATTTGAGATTGAAAAAGGAGAGAGGATTTACAAGTCATTTATCGGCTTGATGCAGTGACCGATGTCTTTGTTTGAAAATACTGCCCAGCTGGAAAAACGAGATATATTTATGAAAAATGGTAATGAAAGTAGGGATATACTCGGCGACTCACGATAGCGTTACCGTTGCCCGTGGGAAGAGATAGGAAAATACTGATCGGGTAAAGAACCAATCAGATTGCAGGATTCGTTACCGTGCCCTCTGGAAAAAAAAAATATATGTATATATATACATATGTACAAATGTGGGGGTAGAGTCTACCTTGGCATAAAGTGCTCAATGCTGTGGTAGCAGAGCTGAGTATATATAAGTGAAAGAATCAAAGAGGACGCATCGATTCTTTAGCATTCTCGATGCGTCCTCTTTGATTTTTCTCAACGAAGGAGACTGGGAACCGGAAATAATCTGTGCCGAGTTGCCTGAGTTTCTTCAGTTCGTTCGTCAAGTTCAAGATTTTATTTCCTGTAACAGCAACAAAACCGCTGATCAAGAGTGAAGGTTAATACGCGGTCGGTACATATTTTAATATAACTTAATTAAAATTGTTGGCTGTATTCATAGCACTAAAAAATATTTAACTTAAAGTTAAATGACTGTTATGCTATAAAATAAAAATATGCAGACAATAAGCTTCACTCTAACTATGTGTAAACGACGTGTATTCGATTTATTTACACTAAAAATGATATCGGACAATTCTTCGACAATTTCACGAATATCACTCAGTGTAAAGGATTAATTACGTGAGCCTTCATAGGACCATCGAACTATCACCTTTTTAAGAAAAATACGAATGTACCCGTTCTAAATAACCTTACCGTTCTTATTTCAGAAAACGTAATGGAAGTTTTGGTGTCTGCATAAGAAACAGCACAATCTATAAAATGACAAGATGTAGTCCTCTAACGTGGTTTACAGAGAAGCAATATCTATTATGGCTCGTTCACTATGTCCCAATCAGTGAAAAACAGTAGTTTACAAGAGCAAACTGCAATTGAGATTCCAATTAGAACTCACTAGGAGAAAAACTCCGTAGAAATTGCTTCATTCATACAATACCAAAAATTAAAAGTTTAACTCGTATTATATACTAAGAATGCTAGGGCCAAATTGAAGTTGAATGCAACTTGATATCTTCTATGGATGCACTGTAGGCTAGCTTTTGTTCCTAAAACCGTTCCTTTCAATCATTATCCAAGGTAGCTCCGTAACTAGTTCTCTCTTTAGTCCGTGGGATGCTCTTTTACGCCAACCTCTGGCCCATTCTCTTCAAAAGGCCCTTTCCCCGCGGCCATAGTCTCTTGAGTCGGTAAGGCTTCCTCTGGGCTACCTTTGCTTTCTGTCTCACGTCTGGTGCTTGCTTTGAGCGGTTTTTCGTCAGTGCACTCGTCATCTTTGAGAGGTCTAACATCTTCGCCTTCTTTCACTTGATGTTCAGGGCTCTGGTCTTCTGTTTCCTCACCAGATTGGTTTTCCTTCATGAGTTCTTTCAAGTCACCTTCTTGGTAAACATGCCTGACAGGGTGATCCCTTGACTCGTCCTCCTTCTTTGGAGTTTCTTCGCTTTCCTGCACAGCTGTTTCCTCCGAACGTTTCTCGTCTGCTAACTCTTGGATCGGCTTTTCTTCCATGCTTTCCTCTTTACTTAAACCAGGAGATAATTTCTCCAGTGACTCTTGTGTAGGTCTTCTCGCCTCTTTACCTGACGAATCAGAGGTGACGTTCTTTGATTCTTGTACCGGCCTTTCCTTCATGTTTTCAAACTCGACCGATTCAGGAGATTTTTGCGCCTCTGGCGTTTCTTGCATAGGTCTCCTAGCATCCTTATCAGACGACAAGGATTCATCGCTAGCAACAGGAGGATGGCCTGTGCTTTTTTTAGGAAAACGTGATTCTTGTTGTGGTCTTTCTTTCATATTTTCCATCTCACTTAGGAGAGCATCCTCCGCAGCAGGTGCCTCTTGGACGGGCAGTCTTGCGTCTTTATCAGACTCCACCCCTGTTATCTCATTTGGCCTGGAATCAACGACTACCAACCCATCCTTTTCATTTCCTTGTAGCGGCACACCATTTGAATTGGCACCCATGTCACTTCTTTCCATACGCGGTGGTGGAAACCCCGGTGAAGGTAAGGGCGACTTTGGATCATGAACTGGGGTTTTTCCGGAGGTTGGAAGTGGCATTTCTAAACGCCGTGGGTTTGTTGTCCCCGAAGGGGAATTCCCTAGTAAAAATGGAAAAATTGTGACGTCACATAAAAGCAAAGAATGAATATCTGATAGTTGTTCGCAATGGCGGCTGTTTTGCTCCATTTAAACTTCATCGATATAAGTCCTCACCTTTTAACTCCCAAGATCTCATTAGTAATTCTCCTTACTGTCTGCCATATAATTCTTGTGATGTTAGTTTGGAGAATTTGGTATTGGATCAACTTATAATCCCCTAATTAATATATATTAATATTAATATAATACTTTATTTTCATCAGTTGTCTGCTTGAAATTGTATTGATATTGTAAGGAGAAATTCTGTGTTGGTCACTCATGGGAGTTAAAGGGTTAAATTACTGAAGACGAGTTGTTCTTAAACTGTACACAGTTGGATACAGATTTTCCAAAAAGATAGGTTTTACTCTTAACACCTGTTTGCTGTACAATAAAATGTCATTCTATGTAGAAGTTAAAAATGAATCAGCTCTGGGAGTTGAAGGTTTACCACCAACCTCCACCAACATTCATTGTATTTACGGAGCCGTCTCCTCCAACAATAACGTTTTGAGCGTAAATAATTGTGTTGCCGCCTGCAGAATGAAAAACAAAAAAGATGACGTCCAAAAGCGAAGATATCATTCAGAACCCGAGGTTGTGTCTCACTTTTATCCACTAAGATCTTATCACTTTGTTACAATTCATGAGTAAAAGTTTGGTCGTTGGACAATTAAATTAATTTAAAAAAAGAGAAAACACAGAAAAAAAAACAACAAAATGCAAACAAATGCAGAGGTGCTGGGATGACTGCCTTATCAAAATCAAGGCAAATTTTTGTAACAGCGCGCGCGTATCATTTCTAGTTACTGGGATACCTGTGGTAGCCCAGTCATAAAATGCCTTTTTACTGGGATACCTGTGGTAGCCCAGTCATAAAATGCCTCTGTTTTTTTGTCGTCTTTTTTTTTTTTTTTTTCCTCCGCCACAAAATGGAAAAATTGCGCAATAGTACCCAGAGGTCATTGGGGCCCTCAACACCATGACAACTAACTGTGATCCAATGATGTGTTCACATGCTGACCACGCGTGTTATCCCTCGACACCATGACAACTAACTGAGATCCAATGAGGTGTTCACATGCTGATCACGCGTGTTATCTTGATGATGATTGGCGTTGTCATGCACAAACAGGGCCGGGTCACATGACGAATCACGAGATTTTTGCTTATAAAATTCTTTGGTCAGTTATTTTGTATTCCAACGTATTTGGATTGCGATCTCCTGGAGCATTATGGCGCAAACGCGCAAAATACTTACAGACGCATATACAAGTCATATAAATCGCGGCTAATCCACACTGAAAGATGTTATTGAGCGGTAATTTTGGAACGGATTGAGTCGCGAACGCTTGAAAGCCATGAAAGCCTTGAATGCCTTGTATGCTAAGTATGCCAATGTCTTAGTTGAAAAACGTTCACTTGTTGTAAAAAGCAAAATCTGAAATCTGAAACCAAACTGCATATACTCTATGCAATCTATTGAACAACACTACTACCGTGAGACTGAAGAACATAACTATAGTGGATGCAAACTGCGTGTGAAGAAAGACGACATGTTGGATTCACTTGATGACAAGAAACGTGGCTACGATAACAGTACGAATGGTATTAATTTCACGATCAGAAAGGTGAATCTTATGTTTGTTTTCATTGTAGTTGTATGGATATTCTTTTTTAATAAATACGTGATCCAAAACCCTGTGTTTTTTGTGTATAATGTTATTATGTTAAATATTGTTTACGCAATTGTCTTGTCACACGCGGCCTAAGCTCACGTCTCGAGAAAAAGCCAACGATTAATTCATGAACGCGTCACGCGTTGTGTGACTCGGTGTTAAGTTACGAGAGGAACTGCACGTTATAAGGAGTAGTATAGGGAACGAATTATGGTCGATTTACAACGACACATATTTCGAAATATGAACATTTTTCTCGTAAAATCAATAAAACTTACTCATATCCTGTGTATCCGTTGTATTTTCTGGCGCTTTCTGCCGTTTTAAGCTTGCTTTACCATCACTGTTATTCACGTCATCTACTTTTATTACGTTGGTAAAATCTGTACAGACATCACACCAACCAACTCGCGTGCAAAGTAAGAAGACTATGTTGAAGGCTTGAAATTATATTACGATCGATTTTCATCAAGAAATGGGCCAGGAATTTTCCACAATAGTGCAAATAATCGTGAAGGCTGATCGCGGAAAAGCGATTGCGTGACGCTCGGTAAGCTGTAAGATGACATGTTATTATATACCAGACGTAATACAAAAAATAACTCTTGCATGCATAGCATGCCTATGTTTTGAGACAGGTGTATGCCCTTGGCCAGACTTGAGCTCACTATTTCAGTATACTATTCCGACACGCGTAGTATCACTACACTTGATTCCACGGATCCAGTACCATCCAGGTATCCCAGTTACCCTGCTCACAGGGTCTAGTTTTTCTGTCGTCTCTCTTTTTTTTTTTTTTTTTTTCCTCCGCCACAAAATGGAAAAATTGCGCAATAGTACCCAGAGGTCATTGGGCCCTCAACACCATGACAACTAAATGTGATCCAATGAGGTGTTCACATGCTGATCAAGCGTGTTATCCCTCAACACCATGACAACTAATTGTGATCCAATGAGGTGTTCACATGCTGATCACGCGTGTTATCTTGATGATGATTGACGTTGTCATGCACAGACAGGGCCGGGTCACATGACGAATCACGAGATTTTGCTTATAAAACTCTTTGGTGAGTTGTTTTGTATTTAAACGTATTTGGATTGCGATCTCCTGTTGCACTATGGCGCAAACGCGCAAAATACTTACAGACGCATGTACACGTCGTATTAATCGCGGCTAATCCACACTGAAAGAAGTTAATGAGCGGTAATTTTGGAACGGATTGAGTCGCCAACGCTTGGAAGCCATGAAAGCCTTGAATGCCTTGTATGCTACGTATGCCAATGTCTTAGTTGAAAAACGTTCACTTGTTGTAAAAAGCTAAATCTGAAATCTGAAACCAAACTGCTTATACTCTATGCAATCTATTGAACAACACTACTACCGTGAGACTGAAGAACATAACTATAATGGATGCAAACTGCTTGTGAAGAAAGACGACATGTTGGATTCACTTGATGGCAAGGCGGTCTGCTTCCTGACGCTTATTTACACCTCGTCAGAAAAAAGGCCGCTAATTAGTGATCATATAAAAGGACTTCTTGTTGCAGCGTTTAGATCACCCCTGATGAAGGCACTAGACAGGAGTGTCGAAACGTTGGGTCTATGAATTGTAACTTCTTCGGTTACATTCATTAAATCTGCAAACCAGTGTAGCATCAAACTATGTCTGATTGTCCACCTGGTTGCCGTGTGAACTTTAGTACGAATGGTATTAATTGCACGATCAGAAAGGTGAATCTTATGTTTGTTTTCATTGTAGTTGTATGGATATTCTTTTTGAATAAATACGTGATCCAAAACCCTGTGTTTATTTGTGTATAATGTTATTATGTCAAATATTGTTTACGCATTGTCTTGTCACAGGCGGCCCAAGCTCACGTCTCGAGAAAAAGCCAACGATTAATTCATGAACGCGTCACGCGTTGTGTGACTCAGTGTTAAGTTACGAGAGGAACTGCACGTTTTAAGGAATAGTATAGGGAACAAAGTATGGTCGATTTACAACGATACATATTTCGAAATATAAACATTTTTCTCGTAAAATCAATAAAACTTACTCATACCCTGTATATCCGTTGTATTTTTACTAGCGATTTCTGCCGTTTTAAGCTTGCTTTACCATCACTGTTATTCACGTCATCTACTTTCATTACGTTGGTAAAATCTGTACAGACATCACACCAACCAACTCGCGCGCAAAGTAAGAAGACTATATTGAAGGCTTGAAATAATATTGCGATCGATTTTCATCAAGAAATGGGCCAGGAATATTCCACAATAGTGCAAATAATCGTGAAGGCTGATCGCAGAAAAGCGATTGCGTGACGCTCGGTAAGCTGTAAGATGACATGTTATTATATATCAGACGTAAAAGCTCTTCAGATTCTTAGTCTGCATTTTGTACCCACTCTGCAGTCTGCAGTCTATATTTTGTATCCGGTCTGCAGTCTGCTGTCTGCATTTTGTACTAACAGGTATCCGTGACACCAATACAGTTTATTTTTGGTTACATTTATTTGCAAAACACACATAATCTACCACAAAATACCTGTGAGTGAGGTAATTCAACATTTTCGTTCTTTCCCACATTAATATTCTTCTCTCCTTTTGTAAGAATGTAGACATCACTCACAATGTTTCAAGTAATCCCTACAAAAAAGTAACTCTTGCATGCATAGCATGCCTATCTTTTGAAATAGGTGTATGCCCTTGGCCAGACTTGAGCGCACTATTTCAGTATACTAGTCCGACACCCGTAGTATCACTACACTTGATTCCAAGGATCCAGTACCATCCAGGTATCCAAGTTACCCTGCTCACAGGGTCTAGTTCCTACTAAGCCACGTAGGTCTATATCTCTATGCAGCGAACCAAACATGAAATGAGCAGTTGCATTTCGCTGAAAAGTTCTCGTCTAGGTTAGGACAACTTGTTCAAAGAAGCGAAGTCTCATTTACAGTTTGAGATAAACAAGATGACCCAATCTCGCTCAAACGAGACCACTGTATCCGCCATTATAAAAGAATAGGCTCATGTTTTATAGCTGTGCGTATATCGTATATAGGCTCATGTTTTATAGCTGTGCGTATATCGTATATAGGCTCATGTTTTATAGCTGTGCGTATATCGTATATAGGCTCATGTTTTATAGCTGTGCGTATATCGAGGGCTGGACGTATTTGGAAAGTTTGGAGAGCACTCAAGAAGCTAGAATTGCTTGGCTGCGCCTGAGCAACTGTTCCACTCTTCTCGCGCTTTCCACACTTCCCGTATCTACAACTCGATATACGCCTGCCTGCTAGGCATTGACCAATTCTGAATAACAGTGAAAAAAATATCGTGAATATAAAAGCAGTGGTTCCCTTCTTACCTCTGTTTTCATCTCTCTTTGGAGGGCTTCCGTGATACTCATCCCCTCTCTAGTTCAGTCAAGTACAAATAAATAGTAGTGATTTTAGGGCCATCATGGCATTGACAGTGAACATTGATCTAAATGTAGAAGCTTCTCAGGGAAAACAGCGAAGAAGAGATCAAGGAAAAACAAGGTCAATTCCTATAGGAAAAATACGCAATTTAAATGGGGACATTACCATGTCTAGGTCCAAGAAATAATTTTCTCTTTTACTAACATGACCAATAACAGTAAACTACTTTTCACGCGAGTTTTATTGAAAAATTGATATCATCAAAAAGGAAAAGAAGGGTGCAACCAAAGCCACACGCTTGTCGTAGAATAAGAAAATTGTCCTACTTACGAAATCTTCACTTGGGCGAAACGGGAATACTCTACCAAGAAGTTTCTTCTTCAGCATAAAATTACGAATAACCTGAAGAAGGTAAAGAACCCCCTCAAAGAGACAACTTATGACTTTTTGCAAATCTGTCTGTTCCACAAAGTACTTCCAATATAAACGTTGCTAATAATAATTAACTCGCTCAAAATTTCGCAGAATTACCTGCAGTAATACTCAATTAATAGTAATAACTTAAAAACACCCTCTCACATTTTGATGTGACAGTGAGCTTAAACTAATTTTTATTTCTTTGTTTTGTTTCTTTTTTTTTTTTCATTTTGTTTCAACAGTCTCCAGGCAGATTTACTACGGAATCAAAACGAAACAACTCGTCACCCGTAAACTGAATATCCACTTTAACTCCAAAGTTTAAAAGTATAACGCTTAGAAGATTGCCTGGCGGTTTTGTTTATTAAAAAAATGCAATGACTATTTTACCATGTTTACTAGACCTATATCGCACACGGCAGCGGGAAACGCCTACCTTCCAACCTTTACTAGAAGCGTTTGCCAGGTGTGTTTGATTCCCAAATAAGTAGAGACCACAGCGTGCTCGTGAAATTGCGACACATAAGCGATTCATTGATGATAAGTAGCCTATGTTCCCTTCCTTATTACTTCGGACCAGAGATATGAGAATTATATCATTCTCTTGCCCCTGGTCAGTAAAAGAAAACATGAACAGTTATTCAACTCACTCCAAATCGCGTGAAATTATTTGTCTTGAGGTTAAGTTTTAAGAGTCTGGTCGCTCATCAAGTTTGGAACTCATTCCAGTTGCATGACAGGAAGCAACTCTGGGGATTGCTATTTCTACCGGAAACGATGTCTGTCAATCGCAGGTTACCCCGATGCAATCTGTCTTTCAAGTTTCTTTCGTTAATCAGTCGGTGAGTCAGTCAGTCAGTGTGTAAGTCATTCAGTCTGTCGGCTGGTCAGTCAGTCATTTACTCAGTTAGTCAGCCAGTCAGTCGGTCAGTCAGTCAGCCAGTCAGTCGGTCAGTCAGTCAGTCAATCAGTGTGTAGGTCATTCAGTCTATCGGCTGGTCAGCCAGTCATTTACCCAGTCAGTCAGTCAGTTAGTCACTAAGTCAGTGTGTAGGTCAACCAGTCTTTCGGGTGGTAGGGTAGTCTGTTAGTCTATTGTAAGAACACAGATATTGAAGCAGTATCGGGTAAAATTAAGGTCAATCATGCTTGAACTGGCATTTACCGTTGCATGTAAGATGTGAAAACATCGGCTTCAGATAATATTGTGTTAAAACATGAAATGACAAATAAATTAGTAAATAATATATAGATCAATTAACATAATCATTTGTTTCCATCACTTTAAAATATCACTAAGTTTTCGGCAGACATGTCCACTTTACTCACCTGGAAACTATCGATTGTTGTAACCTTGATATCTGAAAGTAGGGCAAAATCATCTGCCTCTTTGAAACGCTTCACTATTTCGGCAACCTGAAGCGTGAATAGAAACGAATCAGTCAACGGTTTTTGGTGTGGGCTGTGGGGCTAATTCGTTACCAGACACAGCACATCAATAAAGTAATCAATAAGTAGAATATCGGCGTTTTCAATAGAAAATTTGTTCCCTTAGACAGGCGACTGTGTATCTTACAGAAGCAGAAAAGTCAAAATTAAATAGTTCCTCTTTTTCAGAACAGTTCATCCTTGAGGAAATTGTTTTTGTTTAACGTTGAAGGAATTAGAGGACATTTTCATAACCCTGTGGATCAATTGAGTTTGCTTTTCCCTCCAAAACAGAGACGTCTCTTACCCTGCGCACCCACCTCAGGTTGATGGGAACTTGGTGGAAAAGTTGATAGATAAAAAAACCATTAATACACAAAATTTAAAATTTTGACTGACCTGTCCTCGATATGAACAAAGAACTGTAATCTTTGATGGTGGGACTCCCCCCTTCTCACAAAATGTTTTTGCAACTTCTGTAATTTTTTTAGCCTCTGTAACATTTGTCTTGCTGTGGGAATTTTTCGATTCATCTTCGTGGGATGTATGAGTCCAGAAATACATGCTAGATGAGACACAGGGTGGCGGAAGGTAGCTTTTTACAAGCTAAAAACAAAGAAACATAAGAATAGTATTTTAAATTTATATATTTCGCGACTTTCGAGGGGTTGAACGCTAGCCTGCACAGCAAGTACTCGATCCCGCGACCGACGAGACCACGTGAGTGACTGACTCGCGCGAACAATATATCACGCGTGCATCACGGAAGAAGCTCTCTCTCTTAATCTCTTTAACCCTCCTGCTTCATATTTCATTGTTAATAGCATAATTGTGATAACTTTGTTTTTTCTCATCACCTGATTGCAGGGTAAAGTATCAGTGATGGAAGGAGAGTTTTTGCTTTGATCGTATGAGGGCGTTGAGGGGGTAAACGAAAGTATTGATGACAATAGTACATAATTCCATAGAATATTTTACCGTAAAATCTTCTAAGCCAGGAGTGGTCAAATCAGATCATTACCTTATCTTGTGTCTGTAGATTTTCATAAATCTTGAGCTCCCGGAGCAGATCGACAATCTCATCTCTCATTCTGCATTGAAATCCAAGCTGTATGTATGGCAGCTTGCAGTTGATAAGCCTCTCGAAAAGGGAGAGATCAAGATGATGTTTTTTGAGTCGGTTGAAATGCACCACTGGCCCTAATTGTTCATGATCACCGATCATAATGAGGTGTTGTACAGAGGGCGGAATGACAGCTACAAGCTGTGCTTCGAGGATTTCGGCAGCTTCCTCCACTATCATGACAGACGGTTTAATGTCAGCTATGTATAAAATTGTAAGTGGTAAGATGTTAGATAGAGCGCGCCTCTGTAATATTCTGTTAGTGCCCGTGCAACCTTAGCGTACGGTCTCGTCATGCAAGAGGCGCTTGGAGAGAGTTTAGCATGACGAGCCATAGCGACGGCTACGAGAGGGCAGGGAAAAAAGAAAAGAAAGAAAGTAAGTAAACAATTCGGAAAAAAAGAAAGAAATAATAAACAAGCGAAGTAAAAATTAATAAATAAATGAATGAATGAAAGAAAAGCAAGCGACAGGAAGGTGGGGAGGGAGTAAGTAAAGGAGGAATGAAGTAACAAAGAAGTCTATTTCGAGGACGTTTATGGCCAAAATGTTGCTTTCGGTGAGAGATCCAACCAACTTTATTTATTTGCTGTTGACCTCTGTTAAAGAACCAATGACAACAAAAAGGCAAACAAAACAAAGAAACCAACCACCTGCGAGCGATTATAAAGCGCCGATCAGATCCACGAGGTTTTTTTCACAAAAGAAAGCCCATCCAAATTCATGGATTTTAATCGAGCTAAGATAAACAGCTGTAATAATAGTCCTCACCCAACAGATTTGCCCTCATAGTCGCTCCAGTCACTGTCATTCCAATAACGTGACATTTTTTCATCACTTCAATGTCATGTTGATTTTTCAGCTCTTTGAGTTGATGATGTATCTGTTAGATAACAAGAAAAATCTTTGTTAGCTACCATGCGCCTGTATGTAAAGACCCGCTGAAACGGTCATGATAGTTGACGATAGCTTCAACTATCACTCAAGTTTGAAGAAGAATTATCATGCAGTATCAGTGACTATCATCAACTATCATGTAGTTTGAATATGTTTAAATTCGAAGTGATAACTGGTGATGGTTTTTGTCGTTTGAACAAGGACATGATAGTGAATGATAGTCTTTCGGTCAACAGTTTCGCCGAAAACGGGTGCAAATTGAAATGAAAAATGGTAAGATGACTAAAGAAGCCGCCAAAATTTCGTCTCAAAGTTCATTCTCATTTTCTCCTGGTAGGCTTCTGTATCTTCATCTCGCAACTGACCAAATATTTCAAATGCCACCGAAATTGCTGACCTCAGCGTGCCCCATATTTGTTTACAACTTCGCGATCTCATTGCGTGCTTTTGTCAACTATCATTAACCATCATGAACCATTTGAACGTTAACATGATAGTCAATAAAAGTTGAAATTATCGACTATCATCAACTACCATGAACCATTTGAACGTTAACATAACAGAAGTTCAAACAAATGGGGGGGGGGGGGAGAGGGGGGCGGGGGATTTTGAGGAAACGTAGTGGGGATGAGTCGTCGCCACCTGTGGAAAATTTACTGCTAATTGACTGCAAATGGCAGGGGATCTTAAGAATATTAAAGAGCCCCATGAGAGGTTATGTAGGTTTTCTCGTGACACAACCAAAATCCGTCAACACCCTCCCCCCTCCCACCTCGACAAAAAATAACTCATCTTTTTACCTCTGTGTACTAGCTGCTCACTTCATGGAACTCAGAACAAAAAAAAACTCATCTTTTTACCTCTGTGTACAACCTGCTCGCTTCATGGAACTCAAAACAGGCTTTCTTGTAGAACTTGCTTTGCAAAACATACACAAGCTGGACTCTTTCCTCTTTCTTAAGATCCCACACTTTGACGTCATCCAAGAGATTTCTATAAGGTATCACCTCTAATTAAAAAAAAAAAAGACAAAATTGCTCTTTTACTTGTATGGCTACTAAATGCTTCTTGTCTGAAAAACGAGGCAATAACTGTCGCAGTTTGATCACAGCTTCGTATTCAAAGGTTACATTGCGCTATCTATTTCCTCATTAATTTGATTTGTTTTCACGTATGTAACAACAATATAATAATCCTGTTAAATAGCATTATCCACATCTGACTTGGTCGTGACGTTCCGTTGATACAACGAACAAGGACTTTCAACATCTGAAAGTTCTTAAACGTCAAGTGGAGCTATGTTTTTATTTGTTTGTTTGTTTGTCTTTATCATTCTGTAGGAAGAATATGCCTCTCTCTGCGATAGCAAATGTATTGCTTACTTCGAAACTAATACTAAAAAAAGTTGGAAACAGAATTACAGAGGTATCGCAACATCCTCTCAATATCCGGGTTTTAAAACATAACAGAAGCAATTTACTTGTTTCATCGACACAAACTAGCTTGCGCTCCTTTGTTCCATAATGTGAATCTCTCCTTTCCTGGTCTTCATTGGCAACATCTTGGGCGATTGTTTTGTCTTCTTCATCGCAGATGTCTTTATCCAAAGCAAGAAGACGCTCCTTTTCCTCCACTGAAGGATCTCTAGCGTCGCTTGGATTCTCCTGCTCTGGATCTTCTTTCCTTTTTTGCTTTGCAAGAGCAGCTGCTACACTAGAGTCGTAGGAAAAATGAAAAACGCATCTGTGTTTTTAGTGGAACAATTCCTCAAAGCCAACAAGTGTTGACCTACTGCACCGTAATGTGTCTCGAGCGTGCTTACATCAGACAACGGCCGACAGCCTGAGCATACGGACATCCAATTTACTTTCCATGTGAGGAATGCAGATAAAAACTAAGGTTCAAAGATTTCAGTCGGCATACGGTAAACGCAACAGATATATATGATTCTGTCAATCCCATGTAGCAAGGAAATTCTAAGAAAAGAGAAAACTTGCTGCGAACGGCCGTAATCCGGCCCGGAGCTTGTGGCTATCATATACACTTACTTGCTCTTTGGTTTAGGCTCCTGTTCTTCACTAACAAACTTATCGAACTCTTCTTGGGCAGGCAACCACTCCTGAAGTGCATTTTTCACAAGTTCTGGATTAAAAAAAAGTTTTAAACAAATTATCACGAACAGATCTACGGTGGCGGTCTCGCTAATAAGGCGCAACCACACCCTCAGTTGGCCGCTAGGGTTTGAGTAAGTTGTAAAAAAATAACCGCTTCGAAAAGTGTTTTCAGAGGAGAATCTGTGCGGTTTGGTGCAGAAGTTAGGCGTCATCGTAGGAATAACGTTTTGTGTTAATTAATCCAGCGTGGTGAAGACGGGGCCTAGAACAATCAAGTCATGGTTTTTATGTGGGAGAGTTAAAAAGGCAAATTTACTTTTGTTGGCTAAGAATTAAATTTAGGGTTGAGTACCTAAAAGTCGAGCATTGCTCCTAAGGCCACCTCGATAAGCTCCTTTGGTCACCTTCTTCAGAAAAAATTCCACTTCTTTTTCATCAACTGGCTCACGTTTGTTGTCCCGAAGAAGGGACCTAATCTGGTCTTCCGACGCTTCCTTGCAAAAACAATGGAACCGAATGTACATCAGATTTGATGATAAACTGAACTACAAAAGCCTTTTGATTGGTTCTCACCGATGATCAATTGGAGAACAGACGCATATCGGACGTCACCTTTAACAACATGTTGCTTCTTAACTATACAAAACAAACAGATCCCATGATGCCGTCCTCCCTGATAGCAATAGATCACTGAAGACATCAAAATGTGTTGAGAACATAAGTGACACACTGCGCCTGGTGCCTTTTTTTCTTTTTTTTGTTCTTACCACATTTAGAGGTCATCAGTGTTCTATCACTAAACAGACGGACGGCACTGAACATGGAATCTATTCGTTGATTTGATAATGAAGGAATCATTTTGAGGAATTACACAATTTTTCTAAATACCTAAAAAAAAAAACAAAAAAAAAAAAAAACCAAACAAACAAACAAACAAAAAACTGTATATATATATATATATATATATATATATATATATATATATATATAGGGAGTCTGCAAGTCGATTTTCGCGTGGCACAGTGCTCAATACATTGAAGCAGAATAAATATTTTAAGAGGAAAAAAGGACGCAACTACATTTTTGCGTCCTTTTTTCCTCTTAAAAAAAAAAAAAAAAAAAAATATATATATATATAGATATATAGATATTATGAGAGGAAAAAAGGGGCGTAACTACATTTCCCGACAAGCCTGTTTCGTGAATCGCTTCACTCTTCAGGGGGTTTATCCCCGGAAGAGTGAAGCGATTCACGAAACAGGCTTGTCGGGAAATGTAGTTGCGTCCTTTTTTCCTCTCATAATATTTATTCTGCTCTGCTTCAACGCATTGAGCACTGTTCCACGCGAAAATCGACTTGCAGACTTCCTATATATATATATATATATATATATATATATATATATATATATATAGCCGTAGGCTCTGGCCGAGTTTTTAACAACAGCTGTTTTAAACTCTATGCTATTAGCCATTTTGATTTGACGCCAGGTTTTAAAGTCAAGCACTCTAAATTCTGAACCAGGATAGTATGATGCCGTAACTCTATTTTCAAACTAAAAAGTATATTAATATCACCCAGATAATATCAGGTAGTGACATACTTCCAAGAACATCCCTGCATTGAAATTACTGGAAAATGTTAACTTCTTGCAGGCACTTCTAACTCGAGGCTGCAGAGCCCAAAGTTTTCCAGTCAGGCTTCTTTTCCGTTCATACAATCCCTGAGGCCACTTTCGCCCAACCTAAATAAACAAACAAATAAAAAATTAAAAACGTAAATAAACCATTGCAGCGGCGTACCGTTACACCGTTGTTTTTTTCTGAATATTCCGAACCTTTGCTGCTTCCCCGTGTATGGACTTTGGTTGGTGCGTAATTGTAATTTTATCCGAAAGCGTACTCTAGATACACGGGAATACTTCAGTATGTGAACGCTCCACCAAGATGTGTACAACCAATCAGATGCCGCAAAACTAACCTGACACAGCTCGAATCAATTTCATTTCCACGCGCTTGTAGCTGATCACGTGTACTTGATTAAGATTCTTATTGGTTCATGCAGTGTTTAGTTTATTGCGATTAACCACCTCGTTTGCTTTCTTACTTAGTAGAAAATCTTCAAAATATCTTTTACGAACACTGTCACAGAATCATTTGACGTTGTTGATTTACAGACAAACCTCTCTTAGCAAGAGTCTCTTCAATTTCTCGTCAGCATCTTCAGGCAAGTTTCCAACACGAACAATCTTCTCATCCGGGGATGAATTTTTGGCGAGAGCTTCCAAGAAATTGTTCAAGGCGTGATTCTTATAGGTCACAACCTGTGAACCAGGATATCAAGAATAAGACAGCACTAATGATAAAAACATCAAAAAAAGGAAACAATGTGAAGCCACACAAAAATAGAGTAAATGGAGTCAAGGCTCTGTTCAAGTGTACTCGACATTTTCTTAGATTATCCTTAGTAGAAAGAGGTGAGTGGTTATATAAAAGCACCACAAAGCTGTCCCTGTTCCTGAGCACTTAGGAATAAATCATGGATTGTTATTATTATTGTAGATTCTTTGAAGCGTGAAGGTAACCACGATAAAATAAATTTGAGCTGACCTCGTTAACCCCTTCACTACTTAATTCTGATTGTAAATTCCCCCTATAGATGCTACAGTTTT